CCTCCAGGGGATAAAATCAGCAATTTATGCAACAGTGGGGACTTCCCAAGCTGACCTTATATACACAAGCTTTTGTAACTTCCAGTGATAAGCTCTAGATTTTAATTTTCCTGTAAGTAAAATGTGTGTAATAATTGCATACCTCCCAAGGATGCTTTAGATCAGTTCATTTTTGAAAATGCTGAGTGATGTTGTTACCTGGGACGCCTGTAACCTGAGGTGTGATGTCCTAATACAGGGCTGGGCAAAATGCGGCCCAGGGGCTGGATGTGGCCTGCCAAACCATTCTATCTGGCCCACAGCGCCCCTAAAAAATCTAGAAAATTAATATTTATTTGGCCCTGGCTGCCTGTCATGCAGCCCTTGATGGCTTGCCAAAGCTCAGTAAGCGGCCCTCCACCTGAAATAATCGCTTGCCCTTGTCCTAATACCATGTGAACGGCTGTCCTCTGCTGGAATACTCTGAGGCCGCAGCATGCGGTCTGTGAAGTGTACAGGTAACTGAAGAGGGGGTCATAGCTGGAGTTTCACTACCAGTCTGCTCCAGCAAGTGAAGCAAACTTGCTTGGGGCTGCTGCCCCAAAGTTGTTTCTGTCTCACCGTTCTGACCATGTTTTCATCTCTAAGCAATGGGTGTGGAAAAATGAACAAGATCTCAGTTTTCCTATTCTGTTGTTAATGGCACAGCCTGCTACAGGGTCTCATTGAAATGTATTGTTGGCAGGCACTGCTGGAGGAAATAGGGTTAATGAGGCTTGTGATATGCATGGAAGCCCCACATTTCAGTTCGTAAACTGATAGTTTTTGGCAGAAGAGCAGCTGTTTGCTTCAAGTATTCACCTATCATCCTTGGGTGAAGGATGACTGATCAGTTTAAGGGCTGGTATTAGAAGCCCTGAAAAAGAGGAGGGCAAGCAGGCATGAAGCTGACTAGTTCCTGTCTATTCACGGCTTCTGAGCAGTGCTACTACATCACATTACAAAGTGGGCAGTGGTAGGGATGAAAGGTGCTATGCACTTACCCTAATGTGACCACATTGAGACCCTTGACACCACAGACTTATGCCAGTGTAATAGACAATGATTTTAAGCAACATTTCCATAAATTATATCAGGATCTAGAACAGATATGAGAAGCTATCTCCAATAGTTGCATTTTATTGACAGTATTACAATATCTCACTACTAGCAGAAGGGGAGTAAGTAATAGTGTGCCTGCATTGAGCAAATGGCTATTCCAGATAAGGTGTGACTAGACAGCACCATAGTTTTACCGCATATTTTTTCCTGGATTATATCTACACCAGATTTAAGTAGTAAGGTATCCCAACACGGGGCTATTCATTGTGTGCCCACTTGTTTTCTACATGGGTGTAAAGGCCATTTGCACAAGTGTAAATGCGTCTTCTGCTTGTACTCTTAAATCTACTGCCACTTTCAAAATGAGTCAAAGAGAAAAACACAGAAAAGTAGCATGTTACCCAACCACTCATGTCAGAGGAAACAAAATCTATTACAGAAACAAGAAGAAACCTATTGGCATAAAAACCAGCTTAAAACCACCAGAGAAGAGGCCAACAGTACATATTACAAGAAACGATGAGACACGGGCAGATTGTTTTAGGAGAATGTTCAGGCAGTAGAAAGGAGGTTTGACAAATATTTGTTGACCTACATTCAAGATGTGCTGCTGCTGCCACTCAGGATAGTAAAACTCTCTGTAGCAGACCTCTACAATGCCAAAGGCTCATTTTTCTTGAGGATATCAAGGCTGGCTCCATGCTGCGTGTCAAGTTGATTCTGTATTCATTCTGTTCAGTGCTAGATTTTCATACCAAGTGCTTTCTTAAGAATCAGGCTGAAAAACAATGACTGCCACAGAAAATAAATCCCTTCAATTATTGAGTAAGACCAAGATCAGGTTCAAAGAAGAAATCCTAGCCCTGTGGAAGTCAATGGGAGGTTTACCGCCATTAACTTGAATAGAACCAGAATTTTATCCCTGGTCTTACAATAAGCAAACCTCTCTTTCAGGTGACTCCAAATACCAATGACATCAAAGAGTTTGCTGATTTCAGAGCCTCCAGGCTGCACCCACACCAGGTTTTCATGCTTTTCTTTGCAACCAAAAAAGCCTGAAACTTACTTAAATTTGTTACGATTAAATTGCTTAAAGGTGCTGGGTTCATGAAGTTGTGTACATGTGATAAATTGTAACCTGTTTTATATTCTCATATTTTAATTAGTGACTTTTTCATTTTGTTCAGTTAAATTTATAAAATTCTGCATTTTTTGCAAAATGTTCTTGGTAATTGATACATGTGAAGTTACAAAATTTAAAAGTGAGGTAAATTCAGGTTTTACCGTTTCCTCCCATTCTCTGTCCTGATTTTGTTGTGCCCAATCTGTCCAGACTGACCTACTCTCCCTTCTTGGTTGTGTGCAGTTGATTTTATATATGATGTGTATTTTATATATGATGTTTAGCCACGCGGGTGCTACCTCCCGATCCTCACACGCTGCCTCTGGAGTTGCTGGTAAGTCTGCTTCCATGTCTTGTACCCTGGGACAAACACCTGCCAGATGTCCTTACTATCCGTTACTAACTCCCAGATTTCTGAACCGTGATTCACCATACAATGTTGTATCAGTGTTTGTATTCCTTTTAATTCTAATACCTGGGCACTACATTTATTCACTTCATTAGTTAGGCAGGTTACCTGACACCTGGTACATTTCCAACCAAATTTATGCCCATCTTTGGTTGAACCATCACTAAATCCCCATTCTTCCATAAACGTGCCTCCATCATGTGCCCACTGTGGCATTATTTTTTGGCTATCATTCAGGGTTCTATGTCCCTGTCAATTTTTCCCCCAATTTTGAGTTAGGCTAGAAGCTAATTTTACCCAGGTGCTATGATTTCCTTCTAAATCTGCAGCTGGAGTATTAAGGTTCATGGGTTCTCCCCCTGCAGGATGATGGACTTTTGCATTCTCTGTTAACTCCCAACTGTACCTTTTATAACAATAGTGTAACCCAAGTAATACTTTACCTAAAGTTCCATACCTAGTTTCAGGTCCTTTAAGTGTAAAACTCCACAAGTCTATTACTTTACTTCCTTGGACTGCTTTTCCACTTACCCAATCTATACCTGTCCTAATGTATAGTTCCATTGGTAATTGATTGTGTATTCGATGTAAAGTTAATTTTCGGGAACTTAAATCCACTACTATTCTCTCTACTTGACTTCGGGCTGCTGCTGACCAGCACTTATTTTTTATGGCTGCTCTAATAGCCTTGGTTTGCACCATAGCATTTTCAATCCAATCTCTTAACCAATTGATAATTCCTAATACTGCCTGCATTTCAGTTACAGTCCTTGGGGAGCCTCTGTTGCTTTCTTTAAAGCCATCACCTATTTATCTTCTGGGGTTATTTCCTTTTCATTTATTCTTCTCCCCAAGAAGGTAAAATTTGTAGCTGCTAATTTGGTTTTGTCTGCATTTACCTTTCAGCCTTCTTGAGTTAAATGGTTAATTAACAGCTTTAGAGTTTCATTGACCTGTTTCTCAGTGGGGCCGGTTATTAGTATGTCATCTACATATTGCCAGATTCTTATTCCCTTGGCTATGTAACTTGTATTGGCCTGAAAATTGATAAGGATTTTGTTTATGCAACTATTTGCTATGGCTGGTGAATTTTTATACCCCTGTGGACATACTTTCCATCGGTATGTGTTCCCATTAAGGTTCATATTTAATAAACCTTCTTCATCATCTATAGGGATTGAGAACATGTTTTTCAAATCAATACTTGCTCCCCATAGGTGATCTTCTAAGCTTCTAATGGAATACAGTATTTCTTGTGCGGTGTGATTTTGCATGATACTCACATCCTCTATCTTTGAATTTACTTCTCGATAATCTACTACTAATCTGATCTTCCTGTTGCCTTTTTCTAAGGTCCAGGCAGGACTGACATACATGCCTGCAGTAGTTAATTCAATAGCTCCCATATCTATTAATTCCTTTATTAATGCTTGGGTTGGCATTAATAACAAGTCCTTAATTTGGTAGGCGCGTACCAATTTTGTCATGGGGGAACTTTGCTTTTTAGCTTAGGTTTATGAAGTTCCCTTTTGAAACTTCAATTGGTAACATTTCCTTTAACAATTCTTTTATCTGAAAATCATGCTTTATGCAACTTATAACTAATATATTCTTTGAGCCAATTAATACCTCTATTTCTTTCCCTCCCATCATTATTATAGTTCCAACCTGATGTTTGGACTCCCTGATGTAGTGTGACTCCCATTCACTCCTGTAATCATGATTTCTTCATTTTTTTGGTATGACCAAATTTGAGTTTGCCTTTCTTATTATATTAACTTGTGCCTCTGTATCAATTAGGAAGGTTACCTTTTCTAATTTTAAATCTTCGGGATTCACACATTCTAGGTTCACATAAGGACCGGAATCTTGTTGTTCTGACGTAATTTCAGCTGTCTCGGGGGAAGGGCCAAGTTTTATTGGTTCTCCCCCCATAGCTCGTTTTTTGGATGGCTTTGTTTCTCAACGGCCCATTCCTTCCAAGGTTTCCACCCATAGTTTATGGCCAATTGCTTATTTTCCTTTAGCGTATTTTTTCCTTAACTTCTCCCTTTCAAACCCTTTACTTAACAAGTATCCAAACATTGCTTTATCCTCTCTAGTTGGGATAGATTTATTTGGACCCTTTTTGGTTACATATACTTTGGGCTTTTTCTTAATTTCATCCTCCTGCAGTATGGTTCCTATTTGGTCAGTTACCTCCCAGGGTGTTTTCCCCACCAGTAGCAGTAACCATGCTTTAACTCCTGGGGTTTTTATCATGGTTTGCTGCTACCTCTAATGCCATCCTATGACATGCCACTTGTTCGGCAGTAGTAATGAACAAACAATCATTCCTTAGATTTAGTTGTGCTGCTGTCAGGGCGTTTGGGGGGGCTAGCCAATGGGCAAAACTAATTCCCCATATTATATACCTGACATCATTCATGCCTCCCTCTAGATTTTGGGGAAAGCTTAGAACTCCCAGGTGGTTTTTAACTCCAATCCAGCTAAAGTTATAGAATACATCAATCCTGGAATTATATTCATTGTGTTTATGAGGATTGCCCCCTTACCCTATCCCAAATGTCTCAGTAATGGCATGGTCTCTTCCTGGCTCAACAGCACTCCTATTCCATTTTCCTCTTCTATTATCCTACCCAGCCAGACATAACGATTTTCATTGGCATGTCGTGCCGTTCTCCTCGCTATCTCCTCTATCTCTTCCCTGTTCCTTTCTCGATAGGTATTCTGCCTAACTGCAGGATTCATCCCCTGTTGCTTCCAAGTGGTAGTTACTATAGGGCAAGCCTCCTGCATTGTGTTTTCTTTATCTCCGGCTACCTCTCCTACCTCATAGCTTTCTTTCAATTCTTGTAATTCTGCTGTAACTTCACCATACAGGGGTGGAGGAATTGGAGAGTGTGCAGTAAGTTGTATGGGTGTTTTACTTAGTTTCTCCTCCTGTTCTCCTGTTTTATTGACTTCAGTTGGATTCACAGCCATTTTTAGGGCATTATTTTCCGCAACTAAATTTTCTACCTTATGCAGTAACCGAATAATCCCCCGAGTCACCTCTCCTAAGAGGGACGGTTTCTTCAAAGGACCTCCTGAAGCTTGCTTCCAACTTACTTCTAACTCTCTTACTACTTCCCCTGCCATTGAGTGTGTTATGTCCCTAGCTAAGGGCAGTTCCAACTGATTGTATACTCCCTTTCCTAACACTCTCCACATTATTTCTCAGAGCCCTCCTTCATCTTTTTTGCTTTCCTTCTTTCTACACACCTTTATTTCTGGCTTTACTTCCTTATTTTCTAGGATCCAATCTTGTGGACCATATGTTTTCTGAATGCCTCTTAAATACCACCCTAAACCATCTTGCGTAAACACAAAACTGTATGTAATTATTTCATCTTAATTTTTAAAATCTTTTATGCTTACTTTCCAAGTACCCTCATTATCATTATGAAACATGCAATGCTGCAACACATTCACCCCATTCATAAGTGGATAACCAGCGCATCCTGTTCATGACGCCATGTTTTCTAGTGGTCTATGGACTGGAGAAAGATCCCACACTATTTACTGATTCGTTTGATGCTCCTGGCTGGGGAGTATTGGGCTAACTGCATGATTTCACAATGATTATACCCTTAATTCATACAACACAATTTTATTTGAAAAGAGCTTACGGTGTACACAACATTGCTTTGTCTTAAGAATACAAACATCAAAACACTATAACTACATACCTTAAGAACAATACAAACATCAAAACACTATAACTACATATAACAATTAAAATTAAATTCAAACTAGAAAAAAAATAACTATTATTATTTATATTATACTTACAGTCCTAGGATTCCAAGAAACCAAATACCCAGATATCTGTTCATTCTTTAATTGCAGTTTAATGGGCTGGCCTCAGTAGTGGTAGGAATAAGTTCCCTTTCCGGTCCCACTCAGGCGCTCCGTGGCTTCAGCGTGAACAAAAGATTTGCATTCATGGAGATGGTGGTTCAGGTGATCAGTCTGATCCGGCCTACACTTGCGATTCTTCCTTTGTTCCGCAAGTGAGGTTACCTCCAAATTGGGACGGTAGTTTATGGGTTATATACTGGGTGAATTGCCGTCATGGGCCCCTCCTACCCAAACTCGTCACTACTCCCAAATTTGGACTCGGATATTATGTCATGGATAGTTTCTTTGGCGGGAAAGTTTTACCCACCAAGTGGAATTTTCCCTGCTGCAAACTTTTAGTGCCCTCATCTTCTGGGACTTTCCATATCACCACGATGACCCTTTAGTGCCCTCAGTTTCTTAAAATCCTTGGGCTTCAATTTCTTGGAATTCTGTAACAAGTCTAACTAAGTTTTGAATCTAGCCTAAACTGGCTAATGGGCATTTATTACATATAACCCATAAACTCCATAAATTTATCATTCAGGTGACATTGGCTCCCCAAGTTCTAACCCTCAACCCCTCTGAAAGTGGAAAACACAAAATTACAACAACAAAAACAAGGACTGCTGCTATCCTCTGAGGAACCCAACTGCCCCCCATTGTTGACACCCTGGCTGAACTGCTAACAACTTCCTATCGACCTTAAGGATCTTGGTTTGGCCCTACACACGGCCGGGGTATCCTGCGGCTTGCACCCCGCTCCTCAATTCTCGTTGCCCCACCTTTGGCTTCGTCGGCAACGCGGTGGTCTTCTGACGGACGCCTGTCCCCTCGTCTCCCACCTGGTATACCTCTTCAGCTCCCCTGGTGCCCCCAACTGTCCCACCTGGTCTGATGCCAGGAGCTGCACTGGCCTCTTCAGCTCCTCTGCGGAGGTCTCTGACATTAGAGTCTTCCTGCGTCATTCTGCCTTTCTGTTCAGGTTCCCAGGGTTGAGGAGCCGCCTTGGGCTCCCAGCTCCTTTCGCCACTGCCTGCAACCTTGGGCTCGCAACACGTGCCAGTGCGTTCCTCCCGGGTGAGGAACGCAGCTCCTGTTGCTTCCACAAGAGCTTTGGCACAGCACCTCTTGCCAGTGTTCCTGCCGGCATCACTCTGCCGCTCCCTTCCTTCTTGCCGGTGGCTCTCTTTATTTCTGCCAGCCAGCAATCGCGGCTGACATCACCGGCTGGCCACAATTGTATAAAGGTGTGGCTGATGAGCCGTGTGGTTCTTCCTTCGGTCCCAGCTCTGCTGCTGGTCGCGCTGTAGGTAAGTATCCCCTTTCACTTTTTCTTTCTCTTTCCAGCCCCTCTGAAGGTTCCTTACCCCAGGGCTTCCCCCTAGTATTTTGGGGTCCCCCCTTTGGTTTCTCTCTGTGACATAACCCACCCCCCAGTTGCCTTGGGGTGGTTTGTTTAGGGTCGTCGTTGTCCTATGTGCCTTGTCCCGTTCTTCCATCTGCTTTTGTTTTCCCATGGTATCTTGTGACGTTTCATTGCATCTAGACAGGAAATATGCTATTATGTTGTTTACCCCTGGCCGGTGTACCGTTTGGAATTTAAAAGGTTGGAGAGCCAGGGCCCACCTCATAATTCAGCGTTGTCTGTTTTTGCTGTGCTGAGCCATTTTAATGGGGCGTGGTCCATTATTAATGTGAACTCCCAGCCCATTAAATAGTATCTGAAATGCTCTACCGCCCACCATATTGCTAGACATTCCTGCTCAATCATGGCATACCTCGTCTCCGCCGGTGATAGCTTTCTGCTAGCACAGGCCACTGGTCTTTCCATCCCTCCATCTTCTTGCGTCAGCACAGCCCCTATGGTGGTCTCCGACGCGTCTGTCTGTAACACAAAGGATTTACCAAAGTTAGGTGCATGCACAACTACATCCTGACACAGGGCCTTCTTCAGTAGCTGGAAGCTCTTAGTCATTTCCCCTGTCCACTTTATCCCCTTCGCGGTGGGCCCTGTTAGTGCATCTGACAGTGGGGCTGCTAGCTCAGAGAATCGAGGCAAAAAGTGGCGATAGTAATTATCCAGGCCCAGAAAAGACCGGAGTTGCTGGGGCATGTGAGGGGCTTGAAACTTATGAATGGCTTCCACCTTTTCAGCTAGTGGTCTCATGGTCTAGGAAACCTGAATACTTCATCTGTTGTTGTGCAATTGCACATTTCCAGGGGTCTGCTGTTAATCCTGCTTTCCTCAGTTCTGTGAGTACTGCCTCTAATGCCTGTAGGTGTTGTGTCCAAGACTGTGTGAAAATGATGATGTCATCGATATATGCTGTCGTATAGCTTGCTTGAAGGGCTAGTATCTGCTCTATTAGGTGTTGGAATGTTGCCGCAGCGCTGTGCAGCCCAAAGGGCATATGCACAAACTCATACAACCCCCATGATGTTCCGAATGTGGTTTTGGGCCAGGCCCGCGGGGCTACTGGGATTTGCCAATACCCCTTTACCAAATCCAGAGTAGATATGAATTTGGCAGAGCCAATTTGCTCCACCAATTCGGTGATATGGGGCATAGGGAAGGCATCGAAGATGGCTATCTTGTTCAGGCACCGGTAACCTATGCAGAGTCTTAATGTACTGTCCGGTTTAGGTACAGGTATGAGCGAGCTGCTCCAGGGGCTTCATGACGGCCATATGGCTCCTAGCTCTAGCATTTTCTCAATTTCCTTACGAATCTCCCTTGTGAGGTGGTGGGGTATTGGGCGCCATCGATCTTGCACTATGGCATCTGGGGGAGTGCGGATCCAGTGATACATCCCCTGGACACAACCTGGCTCCTCCCTAAATATATCTTTAAACTTTGCAATAAGCGTCTGTATTACCCTTTTCTGGGTGGTGGACAGATTCCCCCAGTGCAGAATTGTTGATCTAATTCTTCTGGTCTGGTGTTTGATTCTCTCCCTTGGGGTCCAAGATCCTCTTCCCCCTCTTCTAGAAAGGCAGCCCAACCCTCGGGCTGTGGCCACTTGCGTAGGAGGTTGACGTGAAAAATTTGCTTCGTACGGACATGGCCGAGCCTATATACCTCATAGTCCATAGGGCCTACCCTCCTGGTTATCTCAAAAGGCGCCTGCCATTGCATTAATAATTTGCTGGTGGATGGGGGCAACAGGACGAGCAGCTTCTGCCTGGGTTGGAATTCTCGTTCTTTGGAGTGCATGTCGTACCTCTCCTTTTGTTGCTGTTGGGCTTGCCATAAGTTATCCATAGCTATGTCTCTGGCCAGCTGCACTCAGCACTGGAAGGTTTGCCGATACGTCATGGGGTCCCAAGCTGCTGCAGAGGGGTACTCACAATCTTCCCTCAATATTTGCAGCAAACCTTGCGGACTGTGCCCCAGTACCAGCTCAAACAGTGAATACTTCAGGGACTCCAAGGGGGTGTCTCTAAGATGAATAATACCAGTGGGAGAAGTAAGTCCCACTTCCACGGATCCCTTTATATGCATCGGTGCAAGATATTCTTTATGGCCCCATTGTCTTTCAACCAATCCGTTGGTTTGTGGATGATTGTGCCAGGAGTATTGCTACTGGAGCCTTTCTCTTGGTGGCTCCGCCCACCTGTTATGGGCCAACCTCCTGCTTACTCGCCTGCCATGCCTTGATCTTGATCGATTGATTGCTTGTAATTAGCGGGATGCTGCCCACTTTCCACACCCTGGTGCCAGGGGGCGCTGTCTGCATCTCCTTTTCCTCCCCTACACAGCAACCCAAGCCTCGCAGATGGTACTAACTGTCATGCGCTGCAGGGTCAGAACCTGAGGCACTGTGAGAAGGTTTGCTTTGCCTTTAAGAGAGAGAGTAAGATTTTCTCTAGCTACGGGTCATGGAGTCTGTTGACCGCAGGCTAGGGTATAAGATTTACGAGTTATAGTAAAGAAGCTTTTATTTTTGTTTACTTACACCCTGATGATTGAGACGCGTAGGCACAGCAGCTTGATTAAATACTTTCTGTTTCAACTATCTGGGTTACAAAGCAGACTGCTAATTCTCTCTTCATTGATGGATCGTAAATCGCGTCGATGCGCAGGGGAGGGGTATGCCGGGAAAGTCGGTGGCGGAGAAGCGATGTCATGGTTGGCTGGACCACGACAGACAGGACTGATTG